GTTAACGGAGATCAAAATTTGTTATTGAATTTAAAAATTTAATTTATTGTTAGTTAAATTTAAATAAATGTTTAATATAAAAGATATTATTATTTTGATGTCAAGACAAAACAAAAATGTCACTCGCGTGATTCAGATGTGTCAGCCCGGGCTCTGCAGAACATTCTTTCAGAGAACCCAAGATGGCACAACTGAACCCGCGGTCCCTAAAGGTGAATCTGATGTTTAGTCCTAAAAATTACTAAATCACTCAACAAGCGTACTCATGGTTAAAAGAGACAAAATAGAGAACAAAAAAGTTTTAAACAGACAAACAAACAAAATTTGTTATTGAATTTAAAGATTTAATTTATTGTTAGTTAAATTTAAATAAATGTTTAATATAAAAGATATTATTATTTTGATGTCAAGACAAAACAAAAATGTCACTCGCGTGATTCAGATGTGTCAGCCCTAGCTCTGCAGAACATTCTTTCAGAGAACCCAAGATGGCACAACTGAACCCGCGGTCCCTGAAGGTGAATCTGATGTTTAGTCCTAAAAATTACTAAATCACTCAACAAGCGTACTCATGGTTAAAAGAGACAAAATAGAGAACAAAAAAGTTTTAAACAAAGGAGTACCATGGTCCCAAAGGTAGGCTCTGATGGGTGAAATCGAGTTTAGGAGGGGATGGCTCTCGAAGGCTTGTATTGGGTGACTCCGACCTACATCATCATAGAGGGTTAATTGAGTTGTCTATGGAGTGGTATGAAATTTCTGTTAAGGTTCACTTGAGTGTTGAGACAGAGTATATTGTTGTCTCTTTCGAGAGTAATTTCAACATCTTCATGAAAATCTAATAAATTGAAATTTTTTGTGTTTAAGTTAACTAATCATTTGGAGTTTTTTGTTGGGCTGAAATTATGTTGATTGAACCTTAAGTGATGTCCGAATGCAGATGTGTCCGGCTTCTTGATGTGCTCGCCTATCCGGACTCCCAGAGATCTACAAGTTCTGCCGATATAACTGGCATCGCAATGCAGCAATGCAGGTTGCAATGCAGCGATTGCGATGCCAGTTATATCGGCAGAACTTGTAGATCTCTGGGAGTCCGGATAGGCGAGCACATCAAGAAGCCGGACACATCTGCATTCGGACATCACTTAAGGTTCAATCAACATAATTTCAGCCCAACAAAAAACTCCAAATTATTAGCTAACTTAAACACAAAAAATTTCAATTTATTAGATTTTCATGAAGATGTTGAAATTACTCTCGAAAGAGACAACAATATACTCTGTCTCAACACTCAAGTGAACCTTAACAGAAATTTCATACCACTCCATAGACAACTCAATTAACCCTCTATGATGATGTAGGTCCGAGTCCCCCAACACAAGCCTTCGAGAGCCATCCCCTCCTAAACTCGATTTCACCCATCAGAGCCTACCTTTGGGACCATGGTACTCCTTTGTTTAAAACTTTTTTGTTCTCTATTTTGTCTCTTTTAACCATGAGTACGCTTGTTGAGTGATTTAGTAATTTTTAGGACTAAACATCAGATTCACCTTCAGGGACCGCGGGTTCAGTTGTGCCATCTTGGGTTCTCTGAAAGAATGTTCTGCAGAGCCCGGGCTGACACATCTGAATCACGCGAGTGACATTTTTGTTTTGTCTTGACATCAAAATAATAATATCTTTTATATTAAACATTTATTTAAATTTAACTAACAATAAATTAAATTTTTAAATTCAATAACAAATTTTGATCTCCGTTAACCTCCAATCACTCGAATCACACTCGGAGAAACATGTTCCACACTGAGGTGAACGCACCTCCTTCTGTTGCCATTTGACAAGTGAAAGTCTTCAAGTGTCGCTTGTCACCACTGTCATGTGGAAACGGTTAAACAACTTGAACCAAAATGAAGAGATAAATTTAAATTTGAAAATATTAATATTAATAAAATTATGATTTAGCAAGTTGTAAACATCCCGAAATATATAATTTTGGGAGTGAGGATGACCAGGAACTTGTTGGATACGTTGTGGACAGTAGGTAGACTTTTTCATAATTATAATGTATATAAAACATATATAAAAAAAACCTTCAGTTTTTTTACTTTGGCCTTCTGCGTTTCACTTTCTTCATATCAAATATTGCATTCTAGATTCAAATTTCAATATATCTTCCACAGTCACCCTCTAATTGTAAATTTCTTTAAATTTTAACTAATTTGTTAACCTTTTTTCAATTTTGTGAATAGTGAGGGTGGCATGATTCCTTAATTCCACACAAGCTAACTTGCTTTTGGAGATCAGATTTGATTTGTAAGGGCTTATCCCACACTCACTATTCCCAATACCAGTTTTTGTCACTTTGTTTGTTTCTTGTAATTTTTAATTTGTTCAAACAATTGTATATATACTATTTTAACTTTTGACTTAAAAGTCTAATTCAGATTTTATAATATATTTTTTTTAAATCTTTTTAAATTGTAAGTTTACATCCACAATTTTTGTAGATGAGCACTGATGATGGCAAATAAGCCGAAACCGCTTTGCATTGATTAATAAAAAAGTTTTGCACGAAATACAAGTTTTTCCTTTTTGAATATATTTTTTGTCATTTCCTTTAAAATCGACTACTTGATTATCTTTGAAAAATCAAAAATAATCGATTAATTGAAAAGCCAATTAACCGATAAATCAGTGTTTACAAAGTATAATATAAATAGAATTATCGTTTATTTTAAATAATCGATTATTTTCAAATAAACCTTTTTTTTCGTCCATGGAAACAGATTATTCGATAATCTTTGAAAAATCGAAAATAATCGATTAATAAAAAATAATCGATTAATTAAAAAGTCGATTAACTGATAAATCGATTTAAAAAAAAAAACAGAATGATCGATTATTTTAAATAATCGATTATTTTCGATCAATCGATTATTATCAATAATCTATTTTTATTGTATTTTCTTTAAAATCGATAATTCGATTATCTTTGAAATACCAAAAATAATCAATAATTCCAAAATAATCGCCTAATCGAAAATAACCAATTAATTAAGAAGCCGATTCTATGATAAATCGATTTTCCAAAAAATAAAACGAATTATCTATTATTTTCTAATAATCCTTTTTTCATATTTCCTTTGAAATTGATAATTCGATTATCGAAAATAATTGATTATTAAAAAGCTGATTATCCAATAAATCGATAATTTTAAAAAAATAACAAAAATATCGATTATGTAAAATAACCGATTATATTCAATCGATTATTTTCATATAATATCTTCGAAAAATCGAAAATAATCAAATAATTAAAAAACCGATTAAACGATAAATCGATTATTTTGAATAAATCTACTTTTTTTGTATTTCCTTTAAAATCGATTAATACATTATCTTAAAAAAAACGAAAATAATTTATTAAAAACAGCGGATAAATCGATTATTTTTGTAACCCCTATCGGTCGCTTGCTTTTATTTGAGCATTTAGCTCCAAAATTTAGAGATTCGGATTTTTTGATCCAGTTATCTTTGAAATCGCATTCGATTGTATAATAAATAAATATGGCTAAATTTTGGATTTTTTTTAGTAAACGAAAATTATGTTCGAGTTGTTTAGGGGTTTGTAATGTAACATTTTATTAACGTGACTAAGGGTCGATTCCACCGTTGTGTTAAACGAAGTTTAAAATGACATTTTTACATTAACACTGTCATTTTAATCTCCGTTTAACACAACGGTGGAATCGGACCTAACTCCTGTAACTTTAGTATTTTTTTTTTGCTTATACTAGATTACTTTGTTTTAAGACTGAAAATTCAATGTCACTTTCGATTTGACCGCAAATAAGATGAACCTTGAAATTTTAAGTAGGTCATCCTGTATTTCATCTAATATTCTTATAAAAATACCTTATAAAAATAAAATTTAGCGGTTTCGCAAATGATCTTCTTCGTGCAAAGATTCTAAAGAGGCTATAAAATTTTTGATTTCTTCCAAAAATTCAATAAAAAGATCAAATTTATCTTCTTTTATGAATTACCCTAACGTGTTTGCTTTTAATGATATGTCACATAGGTGCTACATAGGTGGCTAATGTAAAGTCCACTTTGAAAAGAGAAGATACCATTATACCACACTTCTTGCGTCAAACTTACCGTTTTAGACCAGCAAGGTTTCTAACAAGTGCAGTGGCATGTACATTTGGTAAATATTTGAACGGTGAAACCAATTTAAGTTTGACAGTTATTTACGATCATACATTAAATTAACCATTACTTTAATATGTAAAAAAGTTATTAATGTGATGAAATGTGGTATCTTCTCTATCCGAGCGGACTCTAGGAATTTGATAAGGAAATGTTGACAATTGCCTTCTTTTCCCTGTTCCGATCTCATTACTAAGTTCATACACAAAGTACTTTTTGAAATTTTGATATCTTTGCACTCCGTACTTTTCCAGAATGATCTAGTTCCAATTACAACCTAAACATTTTCAGTTATTGGAAAAATTTTTGAAAAAAAAAAAAAAAACTTGGTCAGTGAAATGATTCTAAAAATCTATACCAATAGACTGTTCTAAAAAAGATCGGAAATTTGATAGTAATAGAGGTATACTATTGTCACGCAGCACTCTGCAGTAGTCTGCTGCTGTTATAGAAAACGTACTAGCAAAAAAATATAGAAGAGTCCAGAAATATCTGGAAATGTTATTCCACGTCAAGGAAAAGTCTACACAGTTTGAGAAGGTTAAAGCAAGCTATATAAGCAGGGATCCTGACGTCAGTTTTTCAGTTTTATGATAGACGTTATACCTTAATGTTACCAGTTGTATTATTATTGTAAAAGTTGAGTTAAAATAAATTGAAATACCAAAAACCTACGTAACAATATGAATTGATGTGTTTGGTGCGATTAAAGGCCTAAAAGCTCTAGAATAGAAACTTTTTAGCAAATCCAAAGAGAAGATGAAACAGGAAAAATTAAAAGTACTCACCAGCTGCCGACGAAGAAGTGGCCAGCGCCGTCGAAGAGGCGCTATGCGTCTCTTTACTAGACGTTTCCGTACTAAACCCGGAATCTTGTATCGCAATATCGCCGCCCTTCTTTCTCGAATCATCTTTGCTGCCTATTTTTTTCCGCACTCTAACGCCGGGCGTCCAATCACCCGGCCTGATCGACACCGGTATGTTGGAGTTGTGATGGTGCGACGTCATCGTGGCTGGCGTGGAGGATGCCAATTTGCTGCGCAGGTTGGGGAACGTCTCCATGACGAGGTCGCGGAACTCCAATAGAGCGCCCACCTCATGCTGAAGTTCTTGGAGGGCCACCAAGGACTTCGCTTGCTCGCTAATGAGATAGTGAAATGGGCCAGCTGGTTGCCGCAGCTGCAGGCAATCCATGCCACCTGATCCCAACGGTTCACCGCCCTGAAAAAAAATAATGGGTTTGAAATGGAGTTGTCATTTTTATATAAAAATAAAGTATATTAAATATTAACAAATACATAAAGCGTTGAAATATGATGCGAAAACAGTAATTTACACATTGTGGTTGATTTTTAAAATTATTTATATTAGCATATTATATTAATTTTTAACAGACTTCGAAAAAACGAGGAGGTTCTCAATTCGTTGGAATATTTTTTTTATGTATGTTCAGCGATAATTCTGCTGACAAATAACTTGAACTTAAACCTGAAAAAATTAGAAAAGACTATAGTTGTTTTTGTATGATAGATATAAATATTATTGTGTCAATGATCAAAAATACATAATTAAAATTATACGTTTTGGCTGAGTTACCTACAAGTATGCTTAAAACGAGATAAATTAGTTATCGAGCATTATTTGAGTGGAAAATTTGGTTGAGTAAAATGATTTTTCAGTTTTTTAATAGAGATTTCCGCAATAATTAAAAAGCCATAAACATTAAACTTATTCCTAGAATTATGCTAAAAATTTATTAAAATATGATTAGATCCATTTGTCCCTTTGCTTTACTTGAAATATTGTAATAAATATTCAGTTGTTTTTTAGACAACATAATAAAAGGTGTTAATAATGTTTCGTCCACCAGTGGAACGCTAAACGAAAATGGCACAGCTCTGGGGTCATGTTCGTCAGTTTTAAAAGTTTAAGAGGTATTTTTAGTTCTTTCATGGCATTTACCAATTTTCGTCGATTTACTGTATCATATGCGCTTTTAAAATCAATAAACATAATACGGGTCGGTATTTCGTATTCGTAGCAACATGTGAGTACCTGTTTTAAAATAAAGATTCGGTCAGTCGTTGACCTGCCTTTTCTAAAGCCGCATTGGTATTTTCCGATAATTTTTCTCCTTCTACTTCTATTATTCTTTTTATTAACGTGGCTAGTATCTTATATGTAATGTCCAGCAAAGCTATACCTCGATAGTTTTCACAGTCTGCTGGGTCCCCTTTCTTATATATTGGAAGCATTACTGCTTTCCTGCAATTTAGTGGCATTTCTTCCGCTTTCCATATTTCTCTGATTAGTTGTACTTTTTCTGTTATTAGTTGTTGTCCTCCATATTTTAGGTTCTCTGCGGTAATTTTGTTTGATCCGGGGCTTTTACTGTTCTTCATATTTGAAATAATTTCTATTATCTCTTCTGTGGGTTCCTCAGCGGTGTACATAGGGTTTTCATTTGCTTCTTCTTCCTCTTCTTCTGCTGCTTCTTCTTCTTCTACTTTCTGCCGTTCAGGTTCATCGTTCAGTAATTTTTGGAAGTATTGTTTCCATTTTTGCATTTGCTCGCTCTATTCTCCTATTAAATTTCCCTCCTTACCCTTGATCAGGGATCCCAGATGTACTGAGCCTAAATTCGTGAGCTTGATCATAAAAAAATCGTGAGAAATCGTGAGATTGTACTACGCATGCGCAGTTTAACGAAATAGATATAAAAGGAAAGACTTGTATTTCGTGCAAAACTTTTTAATCAATAAATGCAAAGCGCTTTCGGCATTGTGCCATCATCAGTGCTTATTGTCCACAAACATATCCACCAAGTTCTTAGTCATCCTCGCTTGGTGGATATGTTTGTGGACAATAAGCACTGATGGTGGCACAATGCCAAAAGCGCTTTGCATTTATTAATTAAAAAGTTTTGCACGAAATACAAGTCTTTCCTTTTGAATCTAAACTACGTGCACACAGCTGTCAACCTTTTTTGGTTATTTTAAATAGATATAGTATTTTAGATTTTTATGTACTTTGTTCGAGCGAAGAGCAGGGAATGGCCGACTTTTAAATCTCAGTACCTCTCTAACAAGTATGATAAAGACAAAAATAATTAGCAATAGCACTATCGATAGTGTATTACTATCGAAAACTATCGATTGTTTTAAGTAATCATCGATAGTTTAAAATTACATGTTTTTAGTAGTTTTCAAGTTCATTTTCACGGAATTCGAACAAAAAAACTAAAATTAAAAATAAACCAAATTTATAAGAATGCACTCAGCAATTCAGCACTAGATGTTTTCTGTTTTGAAAATTGGCCAAACTAATAAATATTTTTTTTAGTATAAATAAAATGTATTACTTTATTTCACTACGTATCAACCGTTGAATCAATGTTGGTATAGTTTCGATATTACTATTGATAGTAACTTTTAAGACTATTGGAAAATATCGATAGGGCCAACTATGGAAAGTATCCGACCACTTGCTGGGGACTGCCAGGGTCGGACTCTACAGCGTAATTCAATTGTTTGATTAATTAAAAAGAATTGTTTTTATATAAAAACTGAAGGTTCGTTTCTACAAGCAACTTGTTAAAAAATATCGTGAGAATCAGGCGCTTTATCGTGAGATCGTGAGACTAAGTACTGAATCGTGAGATCTCATGATAAATCGTGTGATCTGGGATCCCTGCCCTTGATGTAATATTTTTTGGCAAGTGTTTTTTTTATACCTTTTACGTTTTTATAGAAGTGTTTAATTTCATTTTTTTTTTGTAATTTTCTTGTATTTCTGCGACTTTTTCTTCTAGGAGACGCCTATTCTTATTTCTGCACATTTTTTTAACAGCCTTTCTTTGTTCTATATTTTTTTACGTCTGTATCGTTCCTTGTTTGTAGGTATTTTTCTATCAGTTTGTATTTTTTTTTTAATTTCCTCATCACATTCGTTATCTAACCATTCCTTTCTTTTTTGCGTTTTTTCTTATTAATATTTTTCTCAGTTGATGTTTTTATGGCTTTCTCTATGTTATTCCATTTCTTCTCTACTATGTTGGCCATGTTTAAAACTGGTGTATTGTCTAGACTTCTTTCTATGTCTGCTTTATATCTCCTTGATACCTCGTTTACTTTTATTCCATGTTATATTTTGTGTTTATATTTCTATAGATATTTTGTTTTATCTTTTTCCGTTCTGTTAGAATTATGTTAGCAATAACTAGAAACTTATTGGAGTTTGCATCTGCCCTCTGTATGATCTAACATGTTTTACTAAGTTTGCGTTTTGTTCCTCAATGAGAAAGTGGTCTGTTTGATTTGTCTTTTTGGTACCTGGTATTATCCATGTTCCTTTATGAATATCTTTTCTTTTCAAGTGTGTGCTCATGATTTCACTAAATTTGTGGTAAGCAGACAAAATAAAAGCAATTAGTTCAGAGGTACTCCTTCTCAGATATTTAACTGATGTAATAATTGGTAATTGGTAACTAGTTTCAAAGATATTCGACAAGCGAGCTCCAGAAGAAAGTTTTGGGACAATAGATCGACGACATTTTCCGATCAACCCCAAGCGATGTCCTAGAGGGATGGGACAAACAGAAGAAAGAAGAAAAGAATAGGAGCCACTTAGCGTTCCACAAAGAGGAAATGGTGGACAAATGGATCGAGGCATTTTCCGATCAACCCCAAGCGATGTCCTAGAGGGATGGGACAAACAGAAGAAAGAAGAAAAGAATAGGAGCCACTTAGCGTTCCACAAAGAAGAAATGGTGGACAAATGGATCGAGGCATTTTCCGATCAACCCCAAGCGATGTCCTAGAGGGATGGGACAAACAGAAGAAAGAAGAAAAGAATAGGAGCCACTTAGCGTTCCACAAAGAAGAAATGGTGGACAAATAGATCGACGACATTTTCCGATAAACCCCAAGCGATGTCCTAGAGGGATGGGACAAACAGAAGAAAGAAGAAAAGAATAGGAGCCACTAAGCGTTCCACAAAGAGGAAATGGTGGACAAATTGGATCGAGGCATTTTTCCGATCAACCCAAGGCGAGTCCTAGAGGGATGGGACAAACAGAAAAAAGAAGAAAAGAATAGGAGCCACTTAGCGTTCCACAAAGAGAAAATTGTGGACAATTGGATCGAGGCAATTTTTCGATCATCCAAAAAAAGGGTCCAGGATAGGACACAGACGAGGAACGAGCCACTCTACCAGGAGACAAAACAGAAGCAAGCCGCTCTACCACGAGAGATGCAGCGTTTCGAGGAGCCACGGAGCTACCAGGTGAATAGAAGAAGAATTAAAGCGAAATTGAAGAGAAGAGTAAGAAGAGAGTAAAAGTTATAATAGGTAGTATAGTATCACGATATTTATTGGAGTAATATAAAATAGCAGTTAGAGTAGAAGGTAGTAAATAGTAAATTATATTTTAAATTAATAAGGGGAAAGTTTTAAATTACGAGTAGATCAATAAGGGTAATTATTATTAATATAGAATAAATTAAATTAGGTATAATTAAAAAAAAAGGATTATTTCAATCTACGCTTATGTGCTTATAACAAACGGGTGTTTATTACATGAATCGAATTTTGTTTATTTTGTATTGGCCAGCAAAATAGATGAAGAAAATGATTTTTTTAATAACATACCAGCTTATATTATTAATTTAGTTTCGAAAACAAAAATGGACAGAAATGCAAATTTATAAGGTTTTATTAGATTAAAAAAATTAATGACTAAAGAAATGCTGGAGAAAAATATATAAGTTGGTGATTTTGAAGAACTAGGAAATGCTTCCGAATCACTAAACTATTCGAGTTGAATGCTTTAAAAAATTATATTTATACTATAATTACGAGAAAGTAATGTTTTTAAATAAAAAAAAAAAATATTTTCTAGTTCAGTAAAAATAAATAAGTCGAATAAGTAAAACATATTTGTTTTTGAAATATTAAATGTGCTTTTGGGAAAACTAATATAGAAATTTTATTAATGGTATTATACAAACCTAAAATGTAAATAATGTTTTCATAGGGTAACCAGAAAGGACGTTGCCACTGCACAAGAAAGAAGAAACAGAAGAAAGAAGAGGAGATCAACACCGTACTACCTTTGCCAAATTCATCATCAGCACCAACCCCCAGGAAAATCCATATTCAGGACCGTACCAAGGCATTCCAGGGTCCTATGACGTATTATATGACTCCAGAGAGGGATCGCT